CCCCCCCCCCCCCCCCCCCCCCCCGTCATCGTCACAAGCCCCACACACACTGCCCTCGGCCAGACATGACTCAGGACACAGAATGGCTCCACCCAAGATGCCAGAACACGCTGCATGCTTCCGATGGCCTCAGCGAGCCTTGAAGGTCATGGGACGCGCCCTTGCATGATCCTGGCCTGGCCTCTCTGGCAACCTTCCTCAAAGGTTTGAGAATCTTGGGGCTCCTGGGTGGCTCAGTGGGTTAAGCCTCTGCTTTCAGCTCAGGTCATGATCTCAGGGTCCTGGGATTGAGCCCCGCATTAGGCTCTCTGCTCAGCAGGGAGCCTGCTTCCCCCCGCCCCCCCCCACCTGCCTCTCTGCCTATTTGTGATCTCTCTCTCTGTCAAATAGATAAATAAAATATTAAAAAAAAAAAAAAGGTTTGAGAATCTGAGGATGTTAACTATTGCAAGGCCTGAACAGCTCTGCCCAGGGGCCGCTTCAAGAGCTGTGGTGGGCGGCAGCCTTGTGGTCCGACACCTGGGACGATCTCTCAGCCATCTATACCCAGTCATACACACGCATGCAGCCAGATTTCACAGCCCTCCACCACCATCTAGAATTGGCTAGGAGTTCTGGAATCTCTGTGCCAGTCTTCAGGCGCTACCATAATTTAATATATGTTGATAATGTAAATGGCACCCCCTTAATACTTAGTGTTTCTTGTATTATGTACAACTTGAACAACCATCCAGGGCATCCCCCCCTTTTTTTTTAAATTATATGTATTATTAACCCCAGGGGTACAGGTCTGTGAATTGCCAGGTTTACACACTTCAACACTCATCATGGCACATACCTTCCCCAATGTCCATAACCCAACCACCCTCTCCCTACTCCCCTTCCCCGACAACCCTCAGTTTGTTTTGTGAGATTAAGAGTCTCTTATGGTTTGTCTCCCTCCCGATCCCATCTTGTTTCAATTTTTCCTTCCCTGCCCCCCAGGCCCCCCACTTTGCCTCTCAACTTCCTCATATCGGAAGATCATATGATAATTGTCTTTCTCTGATTGACTTATTTCGCTCAGCCTAATACCCTCTAGTTCTATCCACGTTGTCGCAAATGGCAAGATTTCATTTCTTTTGATGGCTGCATAGTATTCCATTGTGTGTATCCACATCTTCTTCAGGTCCTCCCTGTCTTATACCAGCACAGGATCAGGTGTCAAGTCTCCTTTTCTGAGAGAATTACCAAAAGCTATGTGTTTGTGAATAACCACCTTTAAGTACTGGAGAGGACTTCATGATCAGTCCCCATCCCTCGGGACCTGGGACCTCAGGAGCTCACCCAAGAACCCAGCTAGAGTCTATTCTCTGAGTCTGTCCAATGAAGCTAGAAGGTGATGGGGGGGAGTGGGGGGTGGTCTTATCCTTTTGTTCTTGGACTCTGTGCACAGAGAGCTGGTGCTAACTGAGGGTAGAAAAACCCAGAGAGACTGAGGGGCCTTTGGATAGTGAGACTGTTTTGGGGTTTCCTCCCTCTTGTCCCCGCCCCTGGCCACAGAGGCTCTCCAAAGAGGTCCAGAATGCCCTGGCAAGGGCCAGCAGCACAGCCGAGGAGACCATTAGTGCCATGAAGACCGTGCGGAGCTTTGCCAACGAGGAGGAAGAGGCAGAGGTGTATTCCCGGAAGCTCCAGCAGGTGTATAAGCTGAACAGGAAGGAGGCCGCAGCCTACACCTACTACGTCTGGGGCAGTGGGGTATGTGCCCCTGGCCTGGGCAGGTCTGTCGGGGGTCAGGACACAAAGATGGAGGGATCCCCTGACCAGGACGTAAGCCTTGGTCTCTCCATGTCGGTGTCAGCCTGGTTACACTTGACCTTACTCTGCCCCTCTTTCTGCTTTTCGACAGGGGAATCTTTTTGGGAAGGACTGTACTCTCCCAGTGATTGTCCTCATGGGGCACCTCCTCTTTCCCTCTTACCTGGGCATGGGGTAGCCGGGGAAGCATCTCATCTGGGGAAACGTCCTTGCCCCGGAAGGGAGTCACCCCAAGGCCAGCGGGACCCAACCTAGGCCGCCTGGCAGGCCTTATGTCAAACCACACACACCCCATTAGAGTGTCTAGCTCACTCCCTGGGGGTGAGTCACAGCCCCTCCCTGGAGAATGGGGAGCACTTGGAGCATGCTGCTGTCTGTTGGCCACGTCTGGGAGGTGGGCACATCGGGGCATAGCTGGAGTAGGTATGAGAAGGGTTAGTTTAGGAGGAAGAAAGAGTGGTGATCTACCAGGGGGCCAGGGGTCAGGGCAGGTTGTCCCTCAAGAGGACCCAGCCAGAGAGGAGAAGGGGCCCGAAACCCAGCTCAGCTAGCCAAGCCTCTCAGCGGTCTGCCCACCTGCATGGGGACCTTTTGTCCCTGGCACAAAGGCACCATGGTCTAACCATCGATCTGGGTCTAACCCAGCCAGGGGCTTGGGGTGGGGAGAGGCAGTGGGAGGCAAGGGTGCCCTGGACACAGCCCCTCCTTCAGGGAACCTGGTGGGGACAAGAAGCAGACCCCATCGTCCCGCCCTGGCTTGCTGTGTGACCTTAGCCCATGGACTGAACCTCCCTGAGCCTTGCTCTTTCCAGGGAGGAGGAAGACTAACAGCTCCCGCCTGGCCTGGCTGAGTGCTGGAGGCTGTGTGTGTGCGTGCCAGGGCCTCACAAAGAAAGCCTTGTTCTCCGCCAGGCCCATGGCTCCCTCCAGCTAGGGGCCTTTGTGGGGAAGAAGTCCAGGGCCGGGAGCGGGAGGGCAGAGTGACAGCCAGGCAGCAGCATGTGGGAGGACACCCCTGCCTGGCTGGAGTTCAGTCTGTGACTGAGAGCACGGCCCACAGCTGCTCTCACACCGCCCTGCAGCCTGGGGGCGGGGGTGGGATGGCAGGCTCAGGCCGAGGCCTCTGTGACCCAGGTCCCCTCTGCCCTCTGCCCTCAGCTCACGCTGCTGGTCGTCCAGGTCAGTATCCTCTACTACGGGGGCCACCTCGTCATCTCAGGGCAGATGACCAGCGGCAACCTCATCTCCTTCATTATCTACGAGTTCGTCCTGGGAGACTGTATGGAGGTGAGTGGCTGGCTTGGGGAGGGGGTCTCGGGGGGCTGGAGGGATGGGGAAGAGGGATGTAAAGGTGGGGGATGTTCCAGGGTGATGGAGGGTGTGTTTCTTTCTAGGTAGGTAGGGGAGAGAACATAGTACCAACGATGACAGTAGTATTACCAAGTGGCTGTCACAGCTCCATTTACTAAGTCGAGTGACAGGGACAAGGGTGTTTCAGGACACGCTCTGAACAACACCGTGAGAGGGGTCTTAGTCCTGTTCTACCTCCCATTTCTCGGGAAAAGCGGCTGAGTCTCAGGCCAAGGGACTTGCCTACCACGTTGGTGGGGGAACCCAGTTCAAAACCAGATGAGTCTGAATTTATTTTAACCCACTTAGATTTTTTTAAAATATATTTTTTAAAGATTTTATTTATTTATTTATTTATTTGACACACAGAGAGAGAGACAGCGAGAGAGGGAATACAAGTTGGGGGAGGCTGTGGGAGAGGGAGAAGCAGGCGCCCCGCTGAGCAGTGAGCCCGATGCAGGGCTCGATCCAGGGACCCTGGGATCATGACCTGAGCCGAAGGCAGAGGCTTAACCCACTGAGCCACCCAGGCGCCCCTATTTTAACACAACTTTTTTTTTTTTTTAAGATTTTTATTTATTTATTTATTGGACAGAGAGGGAGAACACAATCAGGGGGAGCGGCAGACAGAGGGAGAGGCAGGTTCCCCACTGAGCGGGGAGCCCCATGCGGGGCTCAATCCCAGGACCCTGGGATCATGACCCGAGCTGAAGGCAGATGCTTAACCAACTGAGCCACCCAGCTTCCCCTTTAACACAACTTTAAAGAGTTTAAAACCCCACAGGAAAAGCAGGGGTTGTTTTATATTGCCGTCATTCAGGCTCCCCTAGGAACAGACCCGGAGACAGGGAGCTGGGGTGTTCCCGCCCGAGCCCTCAGCTGCTGCTTGAGGATGCCCTGAGTGGGGGCATTTACTCCCAGGCACAGAGGTTGGGCCTCTGTCCTTCAGTGAGAAAGCTGGGGCTGTCTGGGGAGAGGGCCATTAGGGACTGCTGCAGATGGCTAGACCTCTACTTTGGCTAGGGCCACACCTACCTGTCACTTGATGCCCACAGTCCTGCCTCTAGGAACTGGGGTGCAGAGACACCCACACCGGTGGGCAGAGAGGTGTATTACTTTCCAGAGTGGTAAGTCAAAGCGTCCTCCAGTGCCCACCAGTCAGGGATCAGGCCGACATGGCCCATCAGCGTTCCAGAAGCAGGGTGTCTCAGCCATAGATATGAGGCAGATCTAGGGGTACCAGCGTGCAAGGGACCCTGAGGCACACCATGAAGGAATGGGAAGAGTGTGATCCCAATGGCATGGTTTTTAAGTCTCAGAATTATTTACGTATGCGCCTGTAGGAGGAGGCCCAAGGGCACCGCTCCGTGGTGCTCAGATCTTAACATGAGTGATAATAGCTTGATGTTAATAACAGTCCTCGGTGCTGGGTTCCCCAGCCAGGCCCCTGTGGTCGTAGCACACAAGGGCCTAAACTCAGGAGCCAGTCGTCCCTGGGTTCAAGGCCTGGCTCTGCCACTTCCCAGCTGTGTGACCTGGGGGAAGGGACGGGGGCTCTCTGTGCCTCAGTTTTCTCATCGGCAAAAATGAGATGACGCTAAAAGCTACCCCCCGTAACGTATACAGAGTTCTCAGCAAAATGAGTCGTCATCATCGCTCGCATTTGTTGTGTATGTTTTTACGCAAGGCGCGTGGATAGCGTGAATTAAGAGCAGTTTTTAAAACCGAAATTAAAAAATACTTCGGCAGCCGAGGGAGGAATTCTCTTCAGAATTCCTGTTCTGCCACATTCTGGCGGGTTATTTAACTTCCCTGCCCTTCCGTTTCCTCCGCTGGGGGGTGAGAACACCCGCCCCGCAGGACGGTGGTGAGGTTTAGCTGTAATGACTGCAAGGCCCTCCTTCCTAATGAGTTCTCACCAGCGGCTCGGTGTCTGTTATCATTGCTCTCATGGTTTGCTTGTTTGTTTTTAAGATTTTATTTATATATTTGAGAGAGAGAAAGAGGGAGAGCGAGCACGAGCAGGGCGAGTGGGAGAGGGAGAAACAGACTCCCCGCTGAGCAGGGAGCCCGATGTGGGGCTTAATCCTAGGACCCCGGGACCATGACCTGAGCCAAAGGCAGATTCTTAACCACTGAGCCACCCAGGCGGCCCCTTGCTGCCCTCGTTTTGTCAATGTTGTCATTCCCAGCTGTACTGCTGGGGGGCTCCTGGCAGCGTCTTGCCCCCCCCAACAGCTGCTGTGTCCCTGCTCTCTCTGCACCCCTTCATCACTCTGGCACCACGGGGGTCCCAGCGCTGGGGTGTCACTGCGACAGGAACGTGTGTCTCCTCCCCCCGCAGTCCGTGGGCTCCGTCTATAGTGGCCTGATGCAGGGAGTGGGGGCCGCTGAGAAGGTGTTCGAGTTCATTGACCGGCAGCCAACCATGGTGCATGATGGGAACTTGGCCCCTGACCGCCTGGAGGGCCGGGTGGACTTTGAGAACGTGACCTTCACCTACCGCACTCGGCCCCACACCCAAGTTCTGCAGGTGAGAGGGGTGCCCGAGGCCCACCCACATCATCCCTTCCCTCATCCTGTCTCTCGCCCGCATGCCAGGCCTCATAGTATAGCCAGGACCACGTAAGACAGAGTCCTGGTCCTCGTGGAGTTCGGGCTGGAGTCAGGGAAGGCAGATCATTAACAGAACGTTCCAGATAATAAGTGCCAGCAAGGCAGTAAGTCGGTGGTGTGATAGGGGTAGCTCACAGGTAGCACTCACAGGGATGGCGTTAACAGTCCAGGAGGGCTTCTCAGAGGAGAGGACATTGGAGATGGTCCTGCACAAGGGGAGGAGGCACCCAGGCTGTGGAAGTGAGCATCAAGATCCTGCCAAATCCTAGAAAAGAGAATATTCAGGGGCTGGCAGTGCCCAACCGCGGCAAAGGAGCATGGGTGGGGTGGGAAGGGCGCCCGCCTGTGTTCAAGGTCAGGGCATCTGAGCCAGTGGCTCCACATGGTGTCCGCCTGTTCCTTGCAGAATGTCTCCTTCAGCCTGTCCCCAGGAAAGGTGACCGCGCTTGTGGGGCCCTCGGGCAGTGGGAAGAGTTCCTGCGTCAACATCCTAGAGAACTTCTACCCGCTGGAGGGGGGCTGCGTGCTGCTGGACGGAAAGCCCATCAGCGCCTATGACCACAAGTACCTGCACCGCGTGGTACGTGAATGGCCCTTTGTTGTCCTGTGCGCTTTGTCCGACCTTCACCCTGAGAGCAGTCACACAGGTGCGGAGAAGTGACAGAGGTAAACACAGGCTCGGAGAGCTTCACCTGCGCACCAGCACCCGGGTCAAGAAACAGAACATTCCAGGACTCTCCCACCCCGTGTGTCCCTTCTCTTTCCCCCAGAGGCCACATCTCCCTGACTTTATGATCTTCTCCTTCTTTTCTTCAGTTTTACCATTGCTTTGTGCCTCCCCGAACAACAGAGCTGTGTTTTGCCTAGTCTTGACCTTCATCTGGCTGGGATCATAGAACATGTGTTCAGCTGGGTCTTGCTTCTTCCACTCAGCATTATTTGTGAGACATCCAGGTTGAGGCTGTGGTTGTCGTTCATTCGTTTTCATTGCTGGGTGATAATCTATGGTGTGAACATGTCACCATCTAGTTGGGCATTCTGCTCTTGATGGGGACTTGGATTATTTCCTGTTTTTACTGTTACCAATACTGACGTAGACAATTTTGTCCACATTTTCTAGTGCGCACGGGTACGTATGTTCTCCCAGAGTGCATGCACATCCCTGACTCTAGTAGCTACTGTCACTAGGGTGTTCATACCGCTTTACATTCCCACTAGCAGTGGATGAGAGTTCCAGTGGCTCTGCATTTAAATCATCTCTAGTATGTAAAAGAGGCTTACTCATGACAATACAGTTTTTGGTAATCATTTCAGTAAGAGATCCTCAACTCCTGATCCTGTGCTAGTCTAAGAACAGGGATGCCCTGGATGGTTGTTCAGGTTGTACACAATACAAGAAAAACCAACTACCAAGAAGGCACCATTTTCATCATCAACATACATTAAATTATAGGAGAGCCTGAGGACTGGCACAGAGATTCCAGAACTCCTAACCAAGTTCTAGATGGTGGCAGGGGCCACACATTGTGATATCTGCCTACCCACCTGCATATAACCGGGTATAAATGGCTGAGCAGTGGTCCCAGGTATGTGATGACAAGGCTGCTACCTATCAGAGTTCTGGAAGTGGCCCTCAGGCAGAGCTATTCAGGCTTTGTACTAGCTAATATGCTCAGACATGTAATATTCTTAGATAGTTAATATTGTCAGTGCCGATCTTTTTGCCAGCTGGTGAGGACATACGTAGAGGTACTTCACGGCGGTCTTTTGCATTTTTCCTGATGACCAGACATACCAAGTACTTTAACATATGGTTTACTACTTAGATTTCCTCTTTTGTGAATACCTGCTCTTTAGTTCAAATTAAAAATTTTAATTTTCATAAGCCCCAAAGAGTAAAGTACAACAATCTAACCACATTCCCATATATTCAAAGAATTTTGTAATTAAGACATGAGAGTTCCCCTCCACCTCACCTTTTAAATTCCACTCCATGGAAGTTAACTGCTCTTAGCAGTTTAGTAAATATCCATCCCAACCAGTTTCCTATCTTTATATAAACATATTGGTAAGTAAAGGCCCGTATATAAGTTTTTTACTTTTTTGTTTTTTTAAAGAGAGATAGATAGGCAGAGGGAGAGAGAGGGGGAGGGGATCCCAAGCAGGCTCCACACCCAGCACAGAGCCTGATGCAGGGCTCAATCCCACGACCCTGAGATCATAACCTGAGTTGAGTGGGATGCTCAACCGACTGAGCCACCCAGGCACCCCTTCATATATCGTTTTTTTAAACAAAAACAGAATCATGTGTGTGTGTGTGTGTGTTATTTGATTTAATGGATACACTGTGATTATGAGCCAATCTCCAATTTATGAAACTGATTTTTCTTTCTACTTACAGTGTTACAGTGATATCCTCCATACTCTCAATTTTGTAGGCTACATTCCTAAAACTGGAATCATGGGACAAGTTCTTTAAATTATTCTCTCCGAAGGAAGGAGACACCAGGGAGGCCTTTATGGCCTGGGGGCTGCTATGGCCTCTTGTCTCCTGGCGTGGACAGACTCACATTCCACATTCTCTTTCTCTCCCCTCCCTGGCTCTCCCCACCCAACCCAAGACAGGGGCAGACAGCGAGCTCTCTTCGAGGTCAGGGAACTTGGCTCAGGCCAGAGCAGCCCGCTTAACAGGCCCCAGATTTTTGGTCGGGGAAAGCTGAGGGCTTGTGCAGAAAGTGGACTCTGTTGTTTTTGAAGGAAAGAGGCAGCTGATGCTGACAGCCGGGCCCCGGCTCTGCTCAGATTTCAGACCCAAGACCCCTGGCGTCAGGCAGGCCTGGCGCTGGCGAGGTTCCCGGTGACAGCTGGACGGATGCGTGCCTGGCCTGTCATGCCCCATCCTTTCTCCTGCACAGATCTCCCTCGTGAGCCAGGAGCCGGTGCTGTTCGCCCGCTCCATCACAGACAACATCTCCTACGGCCTGCCCACCGTGCCCTTCGAGATGGTAGTGGAGGCCGCACAGAAGGCAAATGCCCACGGCTTCATCATGGAGCTCCAGGATGGCTACAATACAGGTACACAGCCCAGGAGCATCACCTCCACCCTGCCTGAAGGTCCACGCTCAGGGATGTGACCCTCCGGGTGAAGCATTGCTCTCGGCCGGCTGCTTTTGATTCCGTGTGAAATTCACTCGACATTTAATACCTTTACAGTACCATGCAACCAACCACCTCTATTTATTTTTAAACATTATTATTATCTATGACTTATGTTTTAGAAAGAGAGAGAGCAGGAGCATGGGGGGAGGGGCTGAGGGAGAGGGAGAAGCAGGCTCGCCCTGAGCGGGGAGCTGAGCAGGGAGCCCGATGCGGGACTCGATCCCAGGACCCTGGAATCATGATCTGAGCTGAAGGCGGATGCTTAACCGACTGAGCCAACCCAGGTGCCCCAAAACATGATGATTTTCAAATAATACATGTATCAGATTAATTATAGTTGCTTAATTTTGTATTAAGTCAATATTGTAATATAATAAATTTAACAGTGTATGATTTATATCATATATTTTGTTATACTTAATATACTTTAAAATTTTAACTCTAGGGGCACCTGGGTGGCTCAGTGGGTTAAAGCCTCTGCCTTCAGCTCAGGTCATGGTCCCAGGGTCCTGGGATCAAGCCCTGCATCGGGCTCTCTGCTAAGCAGGGAACCTGCTTCCCCCTCTCTCTCCATCTGCCCCTCTGCCTACTTGTGATCTCTCTCTGTCAAATGAATAAATAAGTTCTTTAAAAAATAAATAAAATAAAATTTTAACTCTTGAGAAGGGGCTATTCACATGGTTCAAAACTAAAAATGTATATGAAATGATAGACAATGAGGGGTTTTACTCCATCCCTTTCTCTACCCCTGTTTCCTCCTGGCCCACCCAAACGTCTTTTGTTACCTTCCTACATGTCATTTGGGAGCTTCTTCATGCAAATGTGAATGAACATATATATATATATACATATTTTTTTTAAGATTTCTTATTTATTTGACAGACAGAGATTACAAGTAGGCAGAGGTGGGAGGGGAGCAGGCTCCCTGATGAGCAGAGAGCCCAATGTGGGGCTTGATCCCAGGACCCTGAGATCATGACCTGACCCAAAGGCAGAGGCTTAACCCACTGAGCCACCCAGGCGCCCCAGTGAATGTATATTTTTATTTCCTCCTAACCTTTTTTTTTTTTTAAAGATTTTATTTATTTGACAGACAGAGATCACCAGTAGGCAGAGAGGCAGGCAGAGAGAGAGGAGGAAGCAGGCTCCCTGCCGAGCAGAGAGCCCGACATAGGGCTCGATCCCAGGACCCCGGGACCACGACCTGAGCCGAAGGCAGAGGCTTTAATCCACTGAGCCGCCCAGGCGCCCCTCCTCCTAACCTTTTAAAGAAAAAAAACAAACCCAGCACTTAATATTCTGCACCTGGCTTTTTTTTTTTTTTTAACTTAACATGGCATCTTAGTGACATTCCACGTCGTCACTTAGACCTCCCTTGCTCCATTTTTAAGCAGTGGCATAGTATTCCAGGGTATCGGGCTTTATGATAATTAGTTTAAAAAATTCATTCAGTTTCCTGCTGATGGACGTTCAAGTCGATCTTTTGTTTTGATTTGCAGTGTTAGTCCTGTGAGTCGTGCGTAACACGGGCCTTGGCCACCGTGCTTGGGAAAGTCACTTATAGGGACAATCCACAGAGGTGGGGATGCGGGTGCCAGGGTCATGCACTTGAACTTGTGATCCGTAGACTTGCACGGTGCAGAGTGATAGACACAGGGGTGTATGCACTGTGGCCGGAGGGATCACCCCGACTGTGCTTACCCCAGAAGGATAGGGGAGTGCCTGTCTCCCCACAGCGACACCAGGACAGTGTATTATCAGATATTGGGATGTTTTCCAGATTAATAGGCAAAAATTGGTATCTTAGTACCAATCGAATGTAGTCATGATTCGCATGAACAGGGAGGGAGAGTGTCCTTCCGTGAGTTTGGGAGCTGTTGGTTGTCCCAGCCTGGGGCCCTCTGGACCATGCCTTTTCCTGGAGAGCACAGCTCCTGTGGCAGCAAGGAAAGGAAGAGGAGAGGGTCCTCTCTGTCTTCCCTAGGGCTGCCCTGGCCTCACCCTCTGCTCATTTGCCCCTGTCCCTTTGTCACGCAGAGACTGGGGAGAAGGGCGCCCAGCTGTCAGGTGGCCAGAAGCAGCGGGTGGCCATGGCTCGGGCTCTGGTGCGGAACCCACCTGTCCTCATCTTGGATGAAGCCACCAGCGCTCTGGATGCGGAGAGCGAGTACCTGGTGAGTGGCGGGGTGGCGGGGTGATGCCAGAGAAAAGAGCGGGCACCACGAAAGGCTTGGAGATGCCCTGGGGGCTCCCCCAGGCTGTTAGCTTCCTGGACTGGGGTGTTCAGGGATGAAGGTCCATCCAGCTGGCTCTTGGCGGAGCTCAAAATACATGACACAGGTTTGGAGTCGAGGCCCTGCCCTCAGCTCATCATGGGAGCCCATGTCTTCCGCTCCCTGAGCCCCCTTTCCATTGGTAAAGAGCGTCCAACTGTGTATCTGTCAGTGACCAGGTGGGTGCCTTGGCCCCTCCCTGGTCGGATCTTGGATTACACAGGCACTCACTGAGCTCTGGGCCACCAGGCACCGTCCCAGCCGCCGAGGTTGCCGTGATGGGCTAACCAGACAGACAGAGGACTGCCCCTGCGGCTTTTCCAGTCCCGGGGGAGACGAGCATGAGTTCAACCTGTGGCCCATGGCACACAGAAAACAAAACCATCTGAGAGAGAAATTGAGACAGGTCACCCTGTCAGAGAGGGACACAGCCAGACATTGATGCTGGAAAAACAGATTTTCTTCAGTAGCGACTGACAGGAAGGGAAAGAGCAGGGCTCCATTCTGATTTGTGCAGAGGGGACAGCGGTGACAGGCGTTGAAGGAGAATGAAGGCATAGGGAGCAGGCTCAAGGGACAGCCCGGAGTTGGCGAGTGTGGATGTGATTAGGCAGATGAGTGTGGGCGGGAATTCTGTCCTCCCATAGAGACTGGGAGACCCAGGCCTGTCCTTCCTGATGATTACATTTCAAAGGAATGGCCTTTAGGTCCTTGAGAAAGACACTCCTGACTGTAGGAGATTAATATATAAGTATCGAAGGGACAGAGAAAGGATTTGCAATTAGAAGCCCTTTTTATTAAACACTTTAAGAAAGGGAGGTCAGGGGCCTACTGTTGGGAGTTGGCTGGAACAGTCCGTTCCCCCAGCAGCACTGAGCATTTGGGGGGCTGGGCCATCCCCGAGACACGGCCTTACACTCCCGAAGCCCTGCTGGAGCGTGACCATCTCCCCGATGCACGTGGGGTCTTCAGGTGCCATTTGAGCTGAGACCCAGGAGAAGAGCCAGCTGAGCATCCACGAAGGAAAAGAGCAGCATGTGCAAAGGCCCAGAGCAAGTTCACAGGCAAGCCCAAAGGTCAGCATGTCAGGCTGGTGGGAGTCTGACAAGGTAAGGTGAGGACAGAGTCATAGGGAGACACCGGCTCCTTGGGCCCTAGTCATAGAGTTTGGAATTTTTTTTTTTTTTTTTTTTTTTGAAGAAAAGTTTCAGGTTTAAAGAAAATTCAGCAAAAAGTGCAGAGAGTTCCCCTATATCTCCTTTTCACCCCACAGACTGTTTCTCCTGTGATCAGCATCTTGTCACGGTGCATTTGTTTCAGTCGATGAGCGGGTTTTAATGCATTGTTGCTAACTCAGGTCCCTGGTTTACATCAGGGGGTCCCTCTTGGTGTCGCAAAGTCTTGTCTGCGACAAGTGCAGAATGGCAGGCAGAAGCTGGATTTTATTCTTGTTTGGGACAAGAAGCTGTTGGGGGGCTCGGAGCAGGAATTCAGCAAGAACCAATCGAAATGTTAAATCCACAAGGCTGAGGAAGGAGACGGGGACGGCAGGTTGCAGGCACCCGGGCAAGAAGTAACAGGGGTAGCAGTGGGAGGATGGAAAGAGCCAGATGAACTGGGGAGAGATGCCCCCAGAAGGATTCCACCAGGCCTTGGATTTGGCCAAGGATGGGGAATTGAGGGCCCCGGTCTCGTGGGCTTCAGCTTTGAGGCTGATGGTGAGACCATGAGCCAAGGTGAAGGTTGCAAGGAGCAGGAAGAGCAGAGAGGCGACCAGGTTAGGGTTCAGCTGTCCCTCGCCAGGCGCCTCCCCTGCGTGGGCCCTGAACTCCGTCTCCTGTGCCCCACACCCCAGGGAGCCAGTAGGGTCGGGGAGCGAGCCCTGGCTTCCCTAAGGAGGCACTGAGGCTCAGCTACAGGGTGGGTGTGGGAGCCCAGCAGCTCCCGGCGTGGTGGGGGCCGGGTGGGGCAGCGCCCCCACGAGCCGGCCCCCTCCGTCTCCCCAGATCCAGCAGGCCATCCACGGCAACCTGCAGAAGCACACCGTGCTCATCATCGCGCACCGCCTGAGCACGGTGGAGCGCGCGCACCTCATCGTGGTGCTGGACAAGGGCCGCGTGGTGCAGCAGGGCACGCACCAGCAGCTGCTGGCCCAGGGCGGCCTCTACGCCAAGCTGGTGCAGCGGCAGATGCTGGGGCTCGAGCCCGCCGCGGACTACTCAGCTGGCCGCAAGGAGCCGCCGGGCGGCAGCGGCCACAAGGCCTGACTGCCGGCCCCGCCTCGCACGGTGGGGCTGAGGCCCCGGCGCCTGCCGGGCAAATGTACCCATGGGGGCCCCCCCCCAGCCCCGCTGCCCAGGCCCACCGTGCCAGGAGGGCAGCCTGCCATGTCCCACGTGTCACTGCTTCCTGCATCGCCCCCCCTTCCCACTCCATCCACCTGCCCCCACCCCCACCGCGCCCTTCCGCGCTGCCGCGCGCCGCTGCCTCCAGTCTGGGCAGCAGAGACCCCGCTGGTCTCTCCATCCGGTCTCCCAGGGCTTCTAAGAGAAGGTAGAGCTACCTTTTTAAACCAAGATCTCACATGAAGAACCAAGGTTTTTAACTGCTTGGTTCGATGGGCCCCAGTCAACTCCCAGATTTCAAAAACTTTTTTTTTTTTTTTTTAAATGGGGAGTAATAATGGGCAAGGTCACTGAGATATTCTAGAAACTTCTGAGCCAGGGGTGAACGATCCTTCCTAATAGCCTGGGGGATGCCAGGGGAGAATTAGGCCTCTGCCCTCTGCCCCTCGAGAGAAGGGGCTTTCCTGTCCCTGAAGGGGGACACAGAGGAAGGGACTTCCTCTCTCACTCTTTGCAGCTTTGTGAGTCAGGCCAAGGGTCGGCGGGAAGAGTGGGAAGGGCCTGTCTGCCCGTGGCCCTTGCCGTCCTGCCAAATCTAAGCCAGTCTCACTGTGAACCACTACTAACCTTAACTGGGGGAGTGAGGGGCTGGCCAGGCCTGGCAGAGCCTCAGGGTGGCCCCAGCCCCACACCCGGCGTGAGCCTCTCAGGCCCACCTCATCCCTTGCTCCCATCTCCCCCCTCCAGCCAGCAGCCCCCTCCCACACATGCACCCCTGCTCCACTCCTCGCTCTGCTCTTGGGAGGCCCTTCAGTGCCGGATGTCTGAGAGATGCGTTCTCTTCCCTGTCTGGTGGACAGAATGGCAGCAAAGCTCAGGCTCTGGTTTTGCGGGGTGGGGAGGGGGGTGGGTGTTTGCAAGATGTTGGAAGATCCCGGTCAATAAAGTGTACTACCTCTGACCCCTGACCTCTGACCTCTTCCTGGGCCCTCTGCCCCATCACCTGGTTAGGTTTTTCCATCAGACATAGCCTGAGAGATTTGGGTAAAGGGCTTCCCCCACAGGGTCTGGGAGCCCCCCTTCTGTGCTCTTCATGTCCCCAGGAACTCTAGCACCGACTAATTTATTCGTCTCTGTCTGTCTGTCTCCACGGGGCTTGTGCAGGGTCACGGAGGCCTGTCTCCTTGACATCTGGGGGATTTCTGTGCAAATGCCACCTGCTCTTTTCCATCAGGGATGGGGCCCCCCATGCCCACTCCACCCCACGGAGCCAGGAAGTCTTACCTAACAGCTCCATCAGAAGGGAGGTGAGACTGGGCACAGGAAAAACCTCTGGGGCGGTTATTCTTGTGGGGCTGTGATGAAGTCCGGGGTCCCGGGAGGGGGCCGGGGGGCAGTGGCTGTTTACCAGCCAGTGGAGAAATATTTCAGTACAGTAACTACTGGTGCGGCCACATACCCATTTTCCTGCCCGGTAAGCTGACCCAGACTGCCACCAGCCGAGTCTCCGGCTTCACCTCAGGGGCTTAAGGAAACCGAGTCCCAGGGAGGTTAAGCTGCTTGCTCAGGACCACCAGCTAGTGAGGGCTAGAGCCGGGATTCACACCCAAGAAGCGTGCGTGTGTGTCTTCCCAACCACGGAAGGCCTGAGAGTGCAGCTCTAAGGGCACAGGCTGGGGAGACTTGACTGACCCTGCGGCAGAGGCTGTACGGATCCAACGTCGGACCTGAGTTCTCAAACAGAAGTGCTTCCAGGAGCCAGGTAAGTACTGCAAGTGTGTGCATTCGGCCAGGTATAAGAGAAAGGAGACGACCCTCTTGGTTTCTGTTCCGCTTTTCCACTTGCGGGATGGCGCAGAGAAATCTTTCCGTTCCATTAGAAAGAGAACACGGTGCCAGCCTGGGAATGAATGGTGACCGAGTCCTCAGACTTGTGCAGCGGCGGTGGTGGGGTGGGGGTGCTGGGTTTCTGCTGTAGTCCCTTGAGGCCACGCAGGAAGGTGGCCTTGAGTCAGCAGATCCGCAGAGATTTTCGGAGAAGCTGGAAATTGGAGTTTTAATGTGAGATTGACTGCTTTTTATAGATTGGCTCAAATTAGTTTACAAAACCCAGGGTCAATAAACACAGCTCGAGGCAGTCTGCCGCCTGTGGGTCACCAGTTGGTAACCTCTATCCTCAACATCCTTTTCCTCCAAAGTCTTTGGAGCTTCCCCATCAGGGGGAGTTTTTCCCTGCCAAGGGGCAGGGGTTGGGGGCCCGCAGCCCAACCCCATTCCAGCCCAGGCTCCTCCCTCACCCCCTCCCCACCCCCACCCTCCAACAACCCTAGGCTGGGCTCCCCAGATTCACCGCATGTTCCCATGCTGGTGTCTGCTACAGCTCCCCAGTTCGTAAACCTGAACCCAAAAGCAGACCCTAGGCAAACAAAAGAACCTTTCAGAGACCAAGCTAGCTGCCTTTTAGAAGGCAGATAGGATTTTTAATTTTTTTTATTATTATTATTTTAAGATTTTATTTATTTATTTGACAGACAGAGATCACAAGTAGGCAGAGAGGCAGACAGAGGGGGGAAGCAGGCTCCCTGCAGAGCAGAGAGCCCGATGCGTGGGCTCAATCCCAGGACCCTGGGATCATGACCTGAGCCGAAGGCAGAGGTTTTAACCCACTGAGCCACCCAGGCACCCCGAGATATGAATTTTTAAATAAATGTTTTACTTTGGGATAATTTTAGTATTTTTTTTAACGATTTTATTTATATGAGAGAGACCACAAGTGGATGGAGTAGGGGAAGGGGCAGAAAAAGAAGCAGACTCCCCGCCAAGCAGGGAGCCCAATGTGGGGCTCGATCCCAGAACCCTGAGATCATGACGTGAGCCAAAGGCAGACGCTTAACTGACTGAGCCCCCCGAGGCGTCCCAGGATAATTTTAGTGTTACAGAAAAGTTGCAATGAAACAGAAGCATTTCCTATATAGCCCTTAGTGAGCTTTCCTCCTGTTCCCATCACGTGTGATCGTGGAGCACTTATCATGACCAAAACAACAACACTGGTCTCTCACTGTCCACGAAACTCCGGGCTTTTTTTCTATTTCACCAATTTTCCAATAATGTGGGGTTGTTTTGGTTTTGGTTTTGGTTCTAGGATCCAATTCAGGGCACCACACTGCATTTAAATTTTTTTTTTTTTTTTTTTTTACTGTAGTAAAATCACATACAGGTTGTAGCAGGTGTCCGCGCTTCCTGCTTCGTGGCTGAATAGGATTCCATTGTGTGGATGGACCACATTTTGGTTATCCCGTGATCCCTTGATAGACTCTTGGGTTGTCTCAACCTTTTGGTTATTATGAATAGCACTTCTGTGAACATTCATGTCTTTGTGCGGATCTAAGTTTTCATATCTCTTGGGTACACACCCAGGACCGGAATGCTGAGTCTTAACAGTCGCTCTCTGTTCCACATTTTGAGGACCCACCAAACTGTCCCCACAATGGCTGCCCCATTGTACGTTCCAAAGCATTAGGGTTCCGATTTCTGCACAGCCTCACCAAATGCTTGTTATTTTCTGTTTTTATTTATTTATAATTTTAAATTACAGTCATCCTGGTGGTTCTGAAGTGGAGAGCCTTGATTTTTAAAGTAGACTTTTTCTCCCTGGTAATTAATTGAGCAAATAGGGCTGCCCTCTTCTGTCCCAGGTCCTGTGGGAGGCGATCTGGGAAAACCATGGCAGCCGAGCCCCCGGGGGAATGAACCATCCTCTGGGGAGATAGACAAGGAAGTAAGTAAGGATGAGACAGGATGGTGACGGGAACGGGGACTGTGGGGACCCAGAGCAGGCTTAGTCCTTAATCCTGGTGTAAAGGCCCAAGGGCTGGGGGGAGGACAGAGGCAGGGCTGTCTTTGCACAGACTTGCCACCTACGTTGAAATTTTTGAACAAGGGGCCCCGCATTTTCATTTTGCACCAGGCCCTGCCAATTCTGTAGCTTGTCTTGGGTGGTTGTCCCAGCTGGAGGCAAGGGTCAGGGGAGGTCTCTCCCACAGCTTCATCTTTGGCATCCAGAGGATGGGGCTTTTTTTTGTTGTTTTTTAAGACCTGGGCTTTTCTTACCTGTCAAGCCCCTGCTGTAGGTCATCCCTCCCCTCTTACTGCCCCCTCTCTCTTCCATGCTGCTCCCTGAAGCTGAATGAGTACATGAGGCAGCAGATGGGTTTTTCCAAATGGCTGGTCTCCGCAGACTCGGATCCAGATTATATCTGTTGGGAGGAGGCTGTCAATCTGATTTGGGGTCGCAGTCACAGCTGACAGCTCCAGAGAACCCAGCACCTTGAGATGCTCTCTGTCGCTGCAGAGCTGGAGAGGATGCTCAAGGTGGGCTCTCCGGGGTCAAGCAGCCTCACCTGGGTAGTAGGAACGACGGTCCCTTGACAGTATGTTCCGTCCGTTGCCCAATGTCTGTGCCGGAGCTCTGACCCCACCTCAGGAAGCTTTCATAACTAACATGCTCAGAAATCCACCTGTCCTCCTTTTCTTTCTTTTTCTCTCTCTCTCTTTTTTTTTTTTTGAGATTTATGGGCGGTCCTGTCTGGCTCAGTCAGTAGAGCATGTGCCTCTTGATCTCAGGGTCCCGAGTTCAAGCCCCGTGACGTAGGGCTTGCTTTACAAATAATAATAATAATAGTGATAATAATAAACTTTTTTTTTTAAATGGAGATTTTGTTTATTTGAGAGACAGAAATCACGAGCAGGGCGGAAGGGACAATGGAGGGTGAGGGGAGAGGCAGAGGGAGAGGGAGAAGCAGACTTCCCGCTAAGCAGGGACCCAGACACAACATAGGGCTCCATCCCAGGAGCTCCATCCCAGGAAATCATGACCTGAGCCCAAGGCAGATGCTTAACCCACTGAGCCACCCAGGCGCCCC